TCACCACCAAGTCCTGTGCTTTGGATAATTTTTTTAGTTTAAAAAAAGCCTCATCCACCTCTTCTTCCTGGTCTGGTGGTCTGTAGTAGACCCCTACCATGACATTACCCTTTTATATTTACCCAGAGATTTTCAACAAGTCTGTCTCTTATTTCTATCTCAACCTCAGTCCAAGTGTATATGTTTTTAATATATAAGCCACACCTCCTCCCTTTTTTCCCTGCCTGTCCTTCCTGAGCAAGCTGTATCCTTCAGTCTTCACGGCTGAGGATGTTAAGTAGATTCCCAAACCTGAGCCGGCTTTTGTAGGTGACAAATCTGAGGAACTGTCACGGATTGAAGTGTCACGAGAGGAGGTTTTGGAATTAATTGATAAACTTAACATTAACAAGTCACCGGGACCAGATGGTATTCACCCAAGAGTTCTGAAAGAACTCAAATGTGAAGCTGCGGAACTGTTAACTAAGGTTTGTAACCTGTCCTTTAAATCGGCTTCTGTACCCAATGACTGGAAGTTAGCTAATGTAACGCCAATATTTAAAAAGGGCTCTAGAGGTGATCCCGGCAATTACAGACCGGTAAGTCTAACGTCTGTACCAGGCAAATTAGTCGAAACAATAGTTAAGAATAAAATTGTCCGACACATAGAAAAACATAAACTGTTGAACAATAGTCAACATGGTTTCTGTAAAGGGAAATCGTGGCTTACTAATCTATTAGAATTCTTTGAAGGGGTCAACAAACATGTGGACAAGGGGGATCCAGTGGACATAGTGTACTTAGATTTCCAGAAAGCCTTTGACAAGGTCCCTCACCAAAGGCTCTTATGTAAATTAAGCTGCCATGGGATAAAAGGGAAGATCCTTTCATGGATTGAGAACTGGTTAAAAGATAGGGAACAAAAGGTAGGAATTAATGGTAAATTCTCAGAATGGAGAGGGGTAACTAGTGGTGTTCCCCAAGGGTCAGTCCTCGGACCGATCCTATTCAACTTATTCATAAATGATCTGGAGAAAGGGGTAAACAGTGAGGTGGCAAAGTTTGCAGATGATACTAAACTGCTAAAGATAGTTAAGACCAAAGCAGTCTGTGAAGAACTTCAAAAAGATCTCACAAAACTAAGTGATTGGGCAACAAAATGGCAAATGAAATTTAATGTGGATAAATGTAATACACATTGGAAAAAATAACCCCAACTATACATACAATATGATGGGGGCTAATTTAGCTACAACAAGTCAGGAAAAAGATCTTGGAGTCATCGTGGATAGTTCTCTGAAAATGTCCACGCAGTGTGCAGAGGCGGTCAAAAAAGCAAACAGGATGTTAGGAATCATTAAAAAGGGGATAGAGAATAAGACGGAGAATATATTATTGCCCTTATATAAATCGATGGTACGCCCTCATCTCGAATACTGCGTACAGATGTGGTCTCCTCATCTCAAAAAAGATATACTGGCACTAGAAAAGGTTCAGAAAAGGGCAACTAAAATGATTAAGGGTTTGGAACGGGTCCCATATGAGGAGAGATTAAAGAGGCTAGGACTCTTCAGCTTGGAAAAGAGAAGACTAAGGGGGGGTATGATAGAGGTATATAAAATCATGAGTGATGTGGAGAAAGTGGATAAGGAAAAGTTATTTACTTATTCCCATAATACAAGAACTAGGGGCCATCAAATGAAATTAATAGGCAGCAGGTTTAAAACAAATAAAAGGAAGTTCTTCTTCACGCAGCGCACAGTCAACTTGTGGAACTCCTTACCTGAGGAGGTTGTGAAGGCTAGGACTATAACAGAGTTTAAAAGAGAACTGGATAAATTCATGGTGGTTAAGTCCATTAATGGCTATTAGCCAGGATGGGTAAGGAATGTCTGTCAGAGGGTGGAGATGGATGGCAGGAGAGAGATCACTTGATCATTGCCTGTTAGGTTCACTCCCTCTGGGGCACCTGGCATTGGCCACTGTCGGTAGACAGGATACTGGGCTAGATGGACCTTTGGTCTGACCCGGTACGGCCTTTCTTATGTTCTTCTATATCAATATTCCAGTCATGCATATTATCCCCCCAAGTCTCCGTGATGCAAACTATGTCATAGTTGTGTTTATTTACTAGCATTTCAAGTTCTTCCTGCTTATTCCCCATACTTTTCGCATTAGTATACAGACATCTAAGATAATGATTTGATTTCCACCCCCAGTTCTGTTTTGCCTCTCCCGTATTTCTGCTATAACAGCCCTTGCTCCCCCCAGATTCTATCCCTTTCTTAATGATGCCCAAAATTCTGTTTGCTTTTTTGACTGCCACTGCACATTGAGTGGATGTTTTCAGAGAACTATCCACAGTGACTGCAAGATCTTTCTTGAGTGGTAACAGCTAATTTATACCCCATCATTTTATATGTATAGTTGGGATTATGTTTTCCAGTGTGTATTACTTTGCATTTATTAACATTGAATTTCATCTGCCATTTTGTTGCCCAGTCACCCAGTTTCGAGAGATCTTTTTGTAGCTCTTCGCAGTCTGCCTGGGACTTACAATACTACTCAAGATAGTTATCATCTGCAGATTTTGTCACCTCAATGTTTACCTCTTTTTCCAGATCATTTATGAATATGTTGAATAGGACTGGTCCCAGTACAGACCCCCAGAGGACACCACCTCTCTCCATTCTGAAAACTGATAATTTATCCCTACCCTTTGTTTCCTATCTTTTAACCAGTTACCAATCCACGAGAGGACCTTCCCTCTTAACCCATGACAGTTTACTTTGCTTAAGAGCCTTTGGTGAGGGACCTTGTCAAAGGCTTTCTGAAAATCTAAGTACACTATATCCACTGGATCCCCCCTGTCCACATGCTTGTTGACCCCCTCAAAGAATTCTAGTAGATTGGTGAGGCATGATTTCCCTTTACAAAAACCATGTTAACTCTTCCCTAACAAATTATTTTCATCTGTGTGTCTGACAATGTTGTTCTTTACTATAGTTTCAACCAGTTTGCCCGGTACTGAAGTTAGGCTTACCGGCCTGTAATTGCCAGTATCCCCTCTGGAACCCTTTTAAAAAATTTGAGTCACATTAGCGATCCTCCAGTCATCTGGTACAGAAGCTGATTTAAATGATATGTTACAGACTACAGCTAGTAGTTCTGAAATTTCGCATTTGAGTTCCTTCAGAACCCTTGGGTGAATACCATCCGGTCCTGGTGACTTATTACTGTTTAGTTTATCAATTTGTTTCAAAACCTCCTCTAATGACATCTCAATCTGGGACAGTGCCTCAGATTTGTCACCTAAAAAGAATGGCTCAGGTTTGGGAATCTCCCTCACATCCTCAAGCAGTGAAGACCGATGCAAAGAATTCATTTAGTGTCTCCGCAATGGCCTTATCGTCTTTGAGTGCTCCTTTAGCATCTCGATTGTCCAGTGGCCCCACTGATTGTTTAGCAGGCTTCCTGCTTCTGATGTACTTAAAATTTTTGCTATTACTTTTTGAATCTTTGGCTAGCTGTTCTTCAAATTCTTTTTTGGCCTTCCTAATTATATTTTTACACTTCATTTGCCAGAGTTTATGCTCCTTTTTATTTTCCTCACTAGGATTTAACTTCTGCTTTTGAAAGGATGCTTTTTTGCCTCTCACTGCTTCTTTTACTTTGTTGTTTAGCCACAATGGCTCTTTTTTGGTTCTCTTATTATGTTTTTTAATTTGGGGTATACATTTAAGTTGAGCTTCTATTATGGTGTCTTTAAAAAGTTTCCATGCAGCTTGCAGGGATTTTACTTTTGGTGATGTACCTTTTAATTTCTGTTTCACTAACTTCCTCATTTTTGTGTAGTTCCCCTTTCTGAAATTAAATGCTACAGTGTTGGGCTGCTGTGGTGTCTTCCGCACCACAGGGATGTTAAGTTTAATTATATTATGGTCACTATTATCAAGTGGTCCAGCTATATTCACCTCTTGGACAAGATCCTCAGTGCGAAAGGATACCACAACATCATCTGGAAGGAGGGTCCCAACTGTGGGATCGTTTCCCTTTGCTCCAGTTGGATGTTCCCCTTCCCTGAGACGTTCATCCTCCTCAACAGCACAGAGGCTGTCAGACTGGGGGGATGAACTGTTCTATTGTGTCCTGGAAAGTCTCATCTATGTACCTCTCTGTGTCTCCCTTAGCTACTCCAGCTCAGCCACCCTGGTCTCCAAAGTCCGTACATGGTCTCTTAGGGCCAGGAGCTTCTTGCACTGAATGCACACATACGCTACCTGCCCATAGGGCAGGTAATCATACATGCTGCATTGGGTGCAATAAACTGGATAGCCCCCACTCTGCTGCTGGACTTCTGCCTGCATTATCTTTCTACTCCTGAACCTCATTCCTTTGTTGGTGTTTTGTTTTTATCAGGGGGTGTTTATAGCTTAAAGTTTAAAGAATGTTAAGTTTATCTAGCTCTCCCCCCACTCGCCTTGGAGAACTCCCTTGCAAAACTCCCCTGTTAACCACTCCTGTTCTCTAGCACCTCTGGTCACTTACGAGCGAGCAGGCTTTTTAAAGCCCTGGTCTTCCTGAGTAGCCCCGCCCCCTGGTTAAGGGTTGATGGGTGCTGAAGGGCTTAGGGATCAAAGCCTTGTTGAGAAGCTCTCAGCCTTGCCTAGCAGGCCGCTAGGTTCAGCACACAAATGGTCAGCCCACAGTCCCCCAAATAAACAGACCACATGATATATTTCAGTCAAGCAGGAAGCACAACACAAACACACACGCTACAGACAACAAACTTACCCCAAGGGTCATACAATCGCTCCTTCTTCACCTGGAGAACTCCCTTGCAAAACTCCTCTGGTCGCTTAGGAGCGGGCTTTTTAAAGTTGGAAAGTTTTTCCTAATAGCTAACCTAAATCTCCCCTGCTGCAGATTAAGCCCATTATTTCTTATCCTACCTTCAGTGAACATGCATCGTGTCTGCATTGAGAATTAACACTTCTTTTCTTGCTTGCTTTTCCCCACAGAATGAACTGTTTCGATATAAGCGAAGAGAAACATCCAGAGCTGTATGCTGTGAAAAAGATAAAACCTGAGCTGTACATATGGTAGGTCAGTGATACTCAGACCTCAGTGGTTCAGGAGACAAATATTTAGTTTTTTTATATAATATATATATATATATATATACACATACACCCACAGCAAATAAGTTAATAACTTAGTGCAAGTTGATAACTTCTTTGATTAATAGCACAGTAAAAGCATCCTGATTGGTTAATGACTTAAATTGGTTAATAAATAAATCACCCAGTGTTTTAATATCACGTGCTGCAAAGAGCCCCAGGAGACACATCAAAGAGCCACTTGCAGCTCACAAGCCGCAATCTGAGTATCACTGTGGTAGGTTGATCAATGGGAGCCATTGCACCAAGGTGGCTCTGGCTTGGCTGCCCTGCCACTCGCTAGAACAGCAGCTGGGGCGGGGGACTCCATGCCCCACCTCCAGTGACTCCAGCAGCTTATTTCAGCATCTGGGGTAGGGGGGTAGGTAGAGATTGTCAAAGCCAGCCCTCCTGCCTGAGGGTGAGAGGCTCAGGAGTAGGAGCTGGATTTGCTCCATGCTTGGTCTGACCTTGGGGGGGAAAAGTAGCAGGAAGGGGGCCAGGACCTAGGGGAGGGGGAGATGTGGGATCATGAGATGGAGGAGTCTGGGACAGGGCCGGCTCCAGGGTTTTGGCCGCCCCAAGCAGCCAAACAAAACAAACAAACAAACAAAAAGCCGAGATCGCGATCTGCGGCGGCAATTTGACGGGAGGTCCTTCGCTCCAAGCAGGAGTGAGGGACCGTCCGCCGAATTGCCGCCGAACAGCTGGAGGTGCCGCCCCTCTCCGAAGTGGCCGCCCTAAGCACCTGCTTGGTAAGCTGATGCCTGGAGCCGGCCCTGGTCTGGGAACCTCCCTTTTCAGTCTCTGAGTGTTCAGCAGGGAAACTCAGGAACCATCTTTGGATCCAGAGGGGAATTGTCATTCTGTTCTGATAGCTCAGTCACTGTTTGGGTCTTTACAAAGGGTTTGTAGTTTTACACAATTCCACAGCTATTAAGTCAGTATTATCTGTATCTACCTGCAACACTTGTTTATCCTGGATGTACATTTCTGTGTCAGCTTTGCAGGAGTCCAATAAAGATCATGAATCAAGAAATATTGTTCCACTTTAAAGTTTGTGTTTTTTTGCCATTGTGTGTGCTAATGCATAAGAATTCTCCCGTTCTCCAGAGCCAGGGGAGTTCTTATAGGTGTTAGCCAGACATTTTTTCATGGTTTCAGTTTTTTATCCGTGACAGCCAATACTTTCAGCACTTTGAATGGGCAAAAATGACAGGGTTTTTTTAACTTCTTTGGGTGCTCCTGACTTTTTCAGAAAGTTCTAAACTAGTTCACACACTGTAACTATATAGATGAAGATCCATTACCTTCTGAGTGGGCACTTGTACAGTGTTCTCCTACAATACAGTCTTAAACAATGTTTTGGAAATTCTTGAAAATGATGCAGAGGGATGAGATGCTTTAGGGACAGGCCCAGGACTATTGGAGAAGTTTTTGGTCATAAAACATGAGTCCCCTCTTCCCCCCCAGGCACGTGGAGGTGGATTTTGATAGGCCATGTCTGCCGCCAGGTGCATGGAGTGATTAGTATTAAGAATACAGAGAAGGTGTCTCTCTCTCTCTCTCTCTCACACACACACACCATTTCCAAATGCTTCTCATTACTCTTGGGCATGCGAAGTGCATTACATCTGATTTTAAAAAAGTTTCAGCTCTCTGAGGAAACACTCTTTTGTTCCCTTCCATACCGAGGGCAACTTAGCTCAGGAGCCATACATTGGATTTTGCTGTGTGTGTGTGTGTGTGTGTTTATAGTGATTGGAGCAGGCCCTGCAACAGTTTATCCTGCTAACCCTGGGTTGGTTTATATGGTAATGATTCCTCTCTTACAGGACTAGGATGGAGCCAGTAGGTTGTTGTGACACAAGGTCCAAATTCTGCCCTCAGTTACATACATGCAGCTCCACTGACGCATCGAAGTTACATGTGGACAAGATCCAGGATCTTCCTGCCAGTGCAGGATGGTTCCTGCAGAAGCCAAAGGGACTGCACGGCGGGTAACTCAAGGTGGAATTTGACCCTAACACGCTCTGGGTGATTCTCCCCTGCACAGCCCCATGTTCAGACAGCAGTGTCTGACCAAAGCTGGTGTGAAGAACGTATTAAACTTTACTAGGGAATTTCACCTGCTCTATAGGCTTAAAACTGCTGCCATTGGAGTCAACTGGAACACTTCATTTGAGTTCAGTGGAGCCGAAATGGGCTTTATGGGCCTGAGCCAAAGCCCACATGAAACAGGTACCTCTAGAGAAACCTCCACACCATACCCACTATATCCCCCAACCAAAGGGTTGCTCTGCCTGGTTCCCCCCAAAACCCCAGCACTCACATCCCCACTATCCTTGAGCTCTTAGCTCCCTGCTCCACCCCCTCTGATGGGAGCTGGACTTTGTCAGTGAGGCCCCCAGAATCCCCAAACCCCCCACTTGAGGTGACTGCCAGGGGACTCCCAACCCCTGACCCCCTCTGTGTGGGGTGCACCTCTGACCCTTCAGTCCTGCCCATCTGCCATCCCATGTGGCTCTGACCCACGGCTCTCATGTACCTGTGAGACCTCATGTGCCTCTGCTACCCCATCCCCTCCCCATGTGTCTGTACAGCCCCATGGTGGGGGAGGTGTGGAGCAGCACTGCCCCAGGGCGAGGTCAGGGAGGAATCCTGGATTTACAGGAGGAGCACAGCACCTGCTACCCCCTTCAAGGTGTGTTACACACCCCTATGTCCGCCAGTCCCTCTCTGCGGGCTGATGCCTCAGCCCCACCTCTCCTACCTTCCTGCCCCGGTGGGGTGATGTGGAGGGAACAATCTCTGCACTGCCTTGAGCACAGGGACTGCAATTGTGCCTGGCCTTACACGGGCTGTGCAAGTTGGAGGGGAAGTGCCTGGTGCCCCTCCCCCTCTGTACACCCGTGTGAAAGCATTTGAGTTAGTCTACAGTAGGGCAGTCTGTGAGGAACGTCAGAGGGACCCTACTGTGCCAGGCAGATGAAATTCAGTATTGACAAGCCCAAAGTAATGCACATAGGAGGGAATAATTGGAACCACTCGTACACATTACTGGGCTCTCAAAACTGGCAATTACTTCCAGAGAAAATATTTGAAGGAGGAAAAAAAATTATTTATTTGAAAATTTTAATGGAAATGTTCAGTTTTTCTTTACCCGAATAAGGGATGGGGGGAAGCCCCCCCAAATATTCATCCTGATTTGAATTGAAATACATTTTTGATTTAAGAGAAAAACTGGACTATTTTGAATGATACAAAAATGAGAAACGTTTTGTGTTGTTCAATGATCCATTTTTTTCCATTGAGAGGCTTTGGTGAGAAGATTTCAACAGCTCAGGGAAAAGCCCTCAGCGACATTAGGGACAGTTCAGTCTTAATTTCAACTCCCCCATCCCCATCCCACACAGAACCCTTGTGAAGCCCCTGAAGGAATCGTGGACATGGAGGGCAGGAAGGGACCTCAAGAGGTTGTCTAGTCCCTTCCCCACACGGGGCCAGGATTAGGGATGGGAAAGCCTGCGGCACGTTTGCGAATAGCTGTTTGTCTTTCTGTTGGATTTTTTCCTCCTCTGAGCCCTGGAAGTCCAGTTCTGGTATCAGTGTTTTAAAAATGTTGAAAAATTAGAGATGGTGCAGAGAAGAGCCACAAAACTGTTTGAGGGCTGGAGAAAATGCCTTACAGTGAGACTTAAGAGGCTCAATCTGTTTAAAGAACAGGAGTACTTGTGGCACCTTAAAGACTAACGAATTTATTAGAGCATAAGCTTTCGTGGGCTACAGCCCACTTCTTCGGATGCATAGAATGGAACATATATTGAGGAGATATATATATACACATACAGAGAGCATGAAAAGGTGGGAGTTGTCTTAACAACTCTGAGAGGCCAATTAAGTAAGAGGAAAACTTTTGAAGTGATAATCAAGATAGCCCAGTACAGACAGTTTGATAAGAAGTGTGAGACTACTTCTGTTTAATTTATCAAAAAGATCGAGGTGACTTGATCATGGTGTAAAATACCTTCATGTTGGAGAAAATACCAGTTACTAAATGTCTCTTTAATTTAGCAGTGAAAGGCAATGACAAGAACCAGTGGCTGAAAGTTAAAGCCAGACAAATTCAAATTTTACCTAAAGCACAAATTGGTAACAGTGACAATGATTAGCCACTGGAACAAACTATCCAGGGAAGTGCTGGATTCTTCATCTCCTACAGTCTCCAAGACTGCATGCCATTCTGGAAGATCTACTTTAATCAAGTACAACTTATTGGGCTCAATACAGGGTAAACTGAGTGAAATTCAATGGCCTGTGTTATACAGGAGGTCAGACAAGATGATGTAATGGTCCCTTCTGGATTTAAAATCTCTGAATCTGTGTGTGGCTGGGTTTTCTCACCGGTTTTCTTAACTGTTACTGTCTCTATTGTACCATTTCCTTCTTTCTCATTTTAATCCTGACTTTGTGCTGGTGGTTGAAATGCGGGTTGGTTTGTAGCTCTGTGCAGAATTCTATTTAAGGGCAAAAATGCCTAAGCTGCCTCTACCTGGTCTGGCTACTGCTGTTGTTGTGAGGTTGCAGCCCCTGTACGCCAGGTGTTCTCAGGGCCCTATAACCAGAGGGAGCTTGTGGCTCAGAGGAAGCAAGGCCGGCTAGGAAGGTGGAAGCAGGATATAAAACAGCTCTGTGGGTGCAGGGGGTAAGTCAGGTGAAGCAGTGGCAAGGTGGATTAGAGGAAGCTGGGACTGTAGCTAATGAGGGGCTGTGATTAGCTGAGTCTGTCTGAGGAGGCCTAGCAGGAGGCCAGTGGAGAAGTTTGAAGGAGCCCTGGGCCAGGTAAAGCAGAACAGTTTGAAGTTTGAGGGTGGGCAGTTGCGCAATAACACATGGTCCCATGGAGCCTGGAGCAGAGGGAGGGCGTAGGTACCAATTAGAGGTGCAACCAAGGGATGAAGAACTTTGTACTTTATGTCAGCACTCAAGGGACCCCTGTAACCAA